AGGATGAATGGCCATCAAAGGCTGGCATCAGCTCATGACAAGTGTAGCACTTTTTAAAGACTTAGGAGCCCAGCATGGTGGTTGAAGACAATTGTCCGCTGAACTTTAGTTGTCTTGGTCTCTCTTTTCTTCTTTTTCTTTTCTTTTTTTTTTTTTTTGGAAACTACTGTCTGTTGAACATTGTGTGAATGGAGATCACAGCCTAGCCCCGGCCTATGTCCTCCGTTTATTTTTTTTTAAAGAGTAAACTATGTAATGAACTAATTAACAGAGTAACTAATGAACAAACACTAACAACAACTATCTTAAATCTAAGTAGATAGTGCTGAGGAGAGAACTGAGCTCCGTCTCCGACTGAGGGTGGTAGTGAAGGAACTGAGGAGGGTCAGGCTGCACGCACAAAGTATAAAAGCCATGTGACGCCTACAGCGCATGTATGGCCCAACCTGCTACTGCTATGAAAAACTCCAATCTGTGGTATTGGGACGACCCAACACCTACAGTGGAGCACCCATGAGGTCATCACTGGAAGAAGAACATTAGCTTTTTGAGGAATAGCATTACATTGACTCTTATTTAGCTTGTGATCCACCATAACCCCCAGATAGCTTTCCAAAGTACTCTCTCTTAGGCAGTCAGTTCCCCTTTTGTATGTGTAAAATTGCTCCTTCCTAAGTGGAGTACTTTGCATCTGGCCTTATTGGATTTCAAACTATTTACTTCAGATCATTTCTCCAGTTTGTCTAGACCATTTTGAATTTTAATATTATCCTCCAAAAAGAACTTGTAACCCCTTCTACGTTGGTATCATCTGCAAACTTTATAAGTGCACTCTGTATGCCATTATCTAAATCATTTATGAAAATATTGAACCAAACAGAACCCAGCACCAATCCCTGCAGGACCCCACTTGATATGCCCTTCCAGCTTGATAGCTACATTCAGGAAATTGTTTTCCAAACAGTTATGTGCCAACCTTTATAACAGTTCCATCTAAGATGTACTCTCTCTCATAAACAAAGTAGGGAAGTATCAAAAGCCTTAATAAGTCAAGATAATCCATGCTGACTGTTACTTATCACCTTATCTTCTAGATGCTTGCAAATTGATTGCTTGATTATGTGCTCCATTATCTTTCCAGGTACTGAGTTAAGCTGACTAGTCTGTAATTCCCCAGGTTGTCCCTGTTCCCCTTATTTATAGATTGGCACTATATTTGCCCTCTTCCATTCCTCTGGCATCTCTCCAGTCATCCATGAGTTTTTGAAAAGAATTGCTAATGGGTCAGATACTTCATCAGTCAGTTCCTTGGGTGTATTTCATCAGGCCCTGGTGATGTGAAAACATCTAACTAGTCTAAGTCATTTTTAACTTTTTCTTTCCCCTACTTTAGCCTTAGTTCTTATCTCATTTTTGCTGGCATTCACAATGCTAGATATCCAATTACTACTAATCTTTTAGGTGAAAACTGAAACAAAAAAGTCATTTAGCACTTCTGCCATTTCCACATTTTCTGTTGTGTGTCCTTTTCTCCTCTTCCCTCTCTCCCCCTCCTCCCAAAATGGAGTAATGGCCCTACCCTGTCCTTGATCCTCCTCTTGCTTCTAATGTATTTGTAGAATGTTTTCTTGTTACCTTTTAGGTCTCTAACTAGTTTAAGCAATGTATCTCAGCTCAATCCTTGTGCAGGACATAGGTCACAGGAGTATGCCAGACTAGTCTGGCAGCTTCTAGGATGGCTTCATTAATTGGGAGCTCTACTTTAGATAGAACCATAGACTGAAGTATGTCTATGAGCTTCATAATTAAATAAATATTGGACATCCTCCCAGAGGACTTTCAAGAGTGTCTGCAGTCCTTTGGGGATGGTCCAGGTGTTGCTTACAATTGTCTGGAGGAGAGGGTGGTGATCGTGCTTTATCTGGAAAGAGCAATGAGAATACCACTGGTACAGTTGGTACACCATCAACTGCTCCAGTTAAGACAGTGCTTCTTTGCTTGGTGATTACCATTTCTGGGTACAGAATTCAAGACCCTTATGTTGAGATGCACAGAAGTATATTTTAGGGGCTCCCATAAGGGCAATGCAATGGACAATATCAAGACAAAGGTGGCCCCTGTGGTGGTCACCATTGGTCCCTGGGCCAGAATTGCTGTTAATAAGGTCAGTGAGAAGAGTGGATCTGAAAGTGTTGCCTGGACTGTTAGTTCTCTAGTCAGCAAGGTGGAGGGCTAGTCGGTACCAGGTTATAGTTCTCCAAAGAGGCAGCTACCACGTTATTGGATTTTAAAGTGAGCAGACAGATTGCTGTTGCATCCACAGATGGTGTTTGCCCCCAAATTCTTTACAAAGTGGGCCATGTGAGGTGTCAAATGAAAGCTTATGCTCTACTGATTCTATGTATGCTATTTATGTACTTGTATGATGTTTGTATGTGAAGTTATGAATAGGGGCTCTGTTCTTGTACTGTAAATGTTCTCAGTCTGGGAGGGAGCAATGGGCCTATTGTGAGGAATGATAGTTCAGTGAAGGGACTGGGAGGATCTGTTCGGAGTAGGTGAGAGAAGGGTTTATAATCTCTCACCTGTGTGTAGGGTCCGGGGCATCTGAAGGGTTTTGCTTGTGAGGCTTCCTGTTGGCCAGATGCACGCACAAAGTATAAAAGCCATGTGACGCCTACAGCGCATGTATGGCCCAACCTGCTACTGCTATGAAAAACTCCAATCTGTCTCGTCCTGAGCCTACGCCCTCAGCAGTGCCCAGACCCGGCCCGGTCCATCACAGAAGCCTCCTCATGTTTCATCATGGGAAGTAGGTAACCACAAAATTTGGTTCCAACTGATCAGCAGGAGCAGTAGGTGGGAAAAGAAACTGAGCCTGAGCCTCCACTTCCTGGCTAAGCCTTGGTACCAACAAACACTGGGTTGACTGATTGCGCAAGGACCTCCCACAACAGTTTCGACTACATGAAAAATCAGGAATTCTAGATCAACATAGATAATCAAATCTTCCAGGAGAGCACATTAAGGACCTGCCTGATGTAAACTGTTCAGGGAGTCCTGCCCTTTGTCAGGGCCATCAATGTGGTCTTGGAGACAGGAGGTCTGTGTATCCCTATGTATACGAGGCACAGGAATTGTTGATGGCCTGGCTTTTTCAGGTTTGAGCACTGTGAGCTCTTGGTACCATCAATGTCTTCTTTGCTGTACAAAGTTCAGGGTGCATTCATTCTGGGATGCAGATTTCTAACAGCGCTAGGGAAACAAGCAAAGCAGGCATATTTTTGGAAGATTTATTCAGGGACTTGTCCCTTGTCCTTTGGGTAAGTTTGCCCTTGTCCATCTCCTGTCTGTGCTTCATGGAGTTCTTGTGTTTGGGGGAGGACTCCAAGCCACTGGTATCAAATGCCAGCAATGTTCTGCCTAGTGGTTCCGGATGCAAGGAAGCAGAATAGAAGGGTCCCAGTTTCTAACAGGGCCTTGTGGAAACCTCTACAAGGTACTTGTCAAGCCTGAAATGACAAGCTTGTCTGATACATGGAGGAAAGGCATTGCAGATATTGCACTTTGATGGAGACATCATTCCCGGAGGCAGCACAAATTTCATGAATATGCTCACTTGGAAAACCCAGGATCATGCCAGGCAACTCTTGGCACAACTGATGCATGAGAAAAGGGAGAACTAGCAAAGGAAGATCCCAGCCCCTATTAACTAGAGCTAAACTCTAAGTAGGAATATTTTTATAGTATTTACCGATTCAACTAAAGCAAACACCAAAGACAAAGAACAGACACACAAGGTTCCATCACCAACCATTAGTGACAGAAAAGTCAGCAACATTCTTTATGCCCTCACAGAGCAGCACAAGGAGGTACAGCTGCAGATGAGACTGCATAGCTACTGAAGTATTTCTGGTCCTGAATGCAGGAAGCATATGCCTACCTACAGTGAATACCCCACAGGGATCAACACTTGAAGAAAAACTGACAGTTACTTTTTCCTGTAGGCAGGAATAATTCTGTCAAACGTCAAGGTCAGAACTTTAAGCATGCAGCTACATGAAATAATGCCATACTCCAAAAATTCTTGTTTTGAATGAGATCATTTCTATTAGGTGCTACCAACAGCAGAGATTTGAGAGCAAAGAGCACCTAGAAGCCTTTCCGACCTATCAGTAACAGGTGGATTATTTCACAAGCATTTTCATTAACATCATGGTAAAGAGAAGATGAGTAAATTGTGTTTGGATTTGTAAGTTTTCAAGCATATTTTGCAAGTCTATTACAAACTTTAATGAACTTGAACTTAAAACATTAATGAGCTGTCTTCTAGGAAAAGATAGTGAACAGCATTCATCCTTTTATTTCTTTTTAGATTTTATGTCATCTGTGCAGGTGCAGAGATTTATAAAAAATAAATCAGATTTTTAAGACTTAGGAAATGATTTTCAGATGTATAAATGCTTTTTTTGATGTATGAAGGGCCAATCCTGCTTCCACTTATGTATATGGTGTTGTCATTGAAGTCAAGAGAAAAACATCATCAAGCCCTAAATTATAGTTGCAATTAGATAGGCAGTAGATGGACTCTTGAAAGAGAAGGACTGTATTGGTCGGCATGTGTTTCATCTCATCTGGTTTTTAAAAAGTAAAGGAAAGATGGTATACTCTGTACTTCAACTAGTGATTACCAGTGCAAAAAAGAGGACTGAAATATATATTTTTTGCACATCAGACTGTCCCTATCAAGACTCAAATAGGAATGCTATTGAGAAAAGAAGCAGATTTGCCATTAGCTTAATCAGTTTCTGCTTTTGGAGGCCATAGTCCACAGTACAATGGGAAAGATTCTTCACAAATAAGAATAATCCTTCATTGATATTTAATTACTTCAAAACCTTGCTAAGATCAGACAAACAGTCCAATGTGATTATTAAAATTGGTGAATAGCTTTATATATAAAATATAAATAAAAAGTCAGCTTGAATGATATACTTGTTATATTGTCAGCAGTTACATAAGGCTAGTGCCCCCTTTGATAAGTATGGAAGAGGTCCTATTGGCCTTTAGAACACACATATGGTTAAGACATTGCCACTTACTTTTTGGCATTTAACCAAGTTTTTTAGCTGCCTTGAACCAGCAGGCCACTAGTCAAGAACGAAGATGTCAGAAAATTCTTGGATGGTATCTTTGTTTCTGAGAAGGGAACAGTACAGAAGGCTGATGAATAAAACTACAATAGTTGTCTAGATTCTGAAACCATGAGTGGGACATTTTTTACTTTCTACTTAATACAGCAAGAACCAAATGGGAAGTCTGATGTAAGAACTGAACACAATGATATGTTAAAAATAAAAAAAGCAGTTACATAAACACACTAACAACAGTTTTTCTTCTCTAATAAAAATACACAAAAGTTAGAAAGCTTCAAAATTGAAGATCTCAGTGCAACTTTATCTCCACTATGTTGCCAATATACTATATTTTAAAAGCACGTATTTAACAATATATTAAGTAACAATTAGGACTATAAATTAAATTGCAGTTAATGCCTGCAATTAACAAAGCAAAATCACATATCTGTGGGAGCGATAGGAGGCATCAGCGACAAGAGCTGGATCCTCAGCTCTCTGCTTCCCAGGCAGCAAGCGGGGGGAGGAGAAACTGAAGTCAGCCCCCATCTGCCTCTTTCTGGGCAGGGACAGAAGTGAAGCCCCTAACCCAGAGTCCCATGCCAGATCTCTGAGGGAGACCAGAGCCTGGAAGTCCAAAGGGGGTTGAATCTCAGAGCCTCCAGCCCTGACCCTATATTTGACAATACAGAAACTCCCCCTCAATTAAATAAATGGTATTCTAATAACAGTGCAATTAAAACTGTGATTAATCAAGATTGATTTTTTAAATTGCTTGACACCCTAACAGCAACACAAAAGCTATATGCAAGGAGACAGAATTAACATTGCTGAAGAAACCTTACTTTTATGCATTTCAATCCTTAATTTTCCTGATACGTAGCATAAGAACAGTGGGATGTGAACAAGGCCCACAAGGTTCCAGGAAGACCAATATCCCCACTGCCATCTGGCAACAGCTGTAAGAGGAGATTACTTACTGGAACTGGAAGTTCTTTGAGATGTATTATTCTTATCTGTATTCCACAAGTGGGTACATGTATGCCATAGACTCAAGTCCAGAAATTCTTCAAAACAGTGTCCAATGGCATGAACATGCACAGTTGCTCTGCTCAGGCTCCTGAACTAGTGACCTAGGATACAAGAGGGAACACGAGTCAAAATCTCTCCATTTCCTCTTCTCATTGCAAATCCAAGAAAATCCAAAGCTGATGGCATGGAGATCAGGTATGGAAAACAGACAGCTACCAGGCATCTTGAAAAATCTCTAGTTAAAGTTAGTAATGTCTACTACTTCTTCACATGATGATCCTTATGTATATTCCATACATGGGTGATTGGCAAGCAGTGTTCAGGATGGAGACAAGTGCAAGGAAGCTGGTAGCAAAAATCCTTGTAATTGTAACAGTCCTACCCACTACATACGCAGCTGAGGCATGAAATAGAGTAGTGCATCATAAATGTATGCATCAAAGTCCACGTGGCCACTCTACAAGTCTCCTGAAGCAGAACATCTAATAGGAATGCCATGGAGGGAGCTTGTGCTTGGAGTAAGATGCCACATCCCTAGAGGGAGGAGTATTTGCTATCTTGCAGCACTTTAAGACACATCCCAAGAACCACTTAGAAATTCTCTGGAAGGATATGGCTTGCCCCTGTTATCCCTCTGCCATGGAGGTAGAGAGCCTCAGTGATATCCTAATGGGCTTGGTTCTTTGCAGTTAGTATGCCAGGCTCTGATGAATGGGAGGGATATTACCCTTTTCAGAACTTTCCAGCCTGAAGGGTTAACTAAATTGCCTGTAAGGGTTAAACCCAGAGACAGTGGGTCTCCAGGAAATGTTGGTAGGGAGCCAGGACAGCCAATGAAAAGAGAGTGTGAGTTTTTGAAAAGGCAGGATCTGCCTGCTGTACTCTTATGTGTGTGACCAGAGGAGAGAGAAATTAATCCAGAAACAAAACATGGAATTTTCAGCGTTATCTGTGACTAGGAAGGACTAAACCTTGGAACAACAGATACGTAATTGAATAAGGAATATTTAGACAGACACAATCAGATTATTTTCTTTATATTTTTATTTGTGAATGCCTCTGTGTTGAGCCCAAGTACTCCCCTTCAATGTTTAGGGCTTTGCTCCAAGAAACGTGCTTGGAAAGACACTGTTGGTCAGTTAAAGACAATGTACCAGGAGGGTGGGGAGAAAGGAGGAATGTCTTCTTGGCCCAGATTAGAGAGGGGCTTCAGCTTTCATGAGGTGTTTCCATAAGTGAAGCTCACAGGTTTCTCAAGTTCTGGGTAGGAAGGAAGAATAGATACTGCAATTCAAAGAAACATGCACCTCAGACAGACTCTACAGGCGGTGCTGATGTTTGTTACTGATTGAAAAAAGGTTGCAGACAGGAAACTCAATTCGTGAATCCCGGGACTCCTGGCAGAGTACTAATTAGAGAAAGAAACACTCTATACTGTACATTAACTATCACCTACAAAACTAAGAATAACTGTATCTATAAATGTAAGGGCCAGGGGACAATATTTTGAAGACTAACACATGGCACACACAGATTCTGTGACAAAGTTCTGGCTGTGCCCCGTGGGTCCTGCGCTCCTTAGGCAGTTATTATATGCCTCAGGAGACCTTCTATACTGCGTTTTTCTAGAGGCCAGGGTTACAGCTTACTGAGCCATTTTCATCATTGGCAAAGTCAATGAATGTGGAGAGGGAGATCCTTCTGTAATTCCTGGGTCTCCTTCTTCCAGAATTACTTCTTTCTGTGGTGCTGAGAGGTTGGAGGGGAACCTGGGCCCGCCCACTACTCCAAGTTCTGGCCCAGGGACCCTAGGCAGTGGCAACTGCTCAGGCTTTTCCATCTAGCTCCAAGACAGCAGCCTTTTCTCCCTTGGCCACTTGCCCAAACACTCCTCTAGTACCTTTCTCCTCTGGTAGCTAACTGAATCTTTCCCTTCTCAGCGTCTCTACAATCACACTTCCTCCTCTCGGTCCGTCCTTCTCTCCTTCCCCATTCCTTAACTGGGGGAAACCTTTTAAAGCAGCTCCCCTGGCTTTAATTATCTGCAAGTGTCTGATTAGTCTGCTCCTTCAGGCCAGCTATTAACTAGCCTCAGATGTCTGCCTGCCTTAATTACATGGCAGCAGACTCAGAGTTTATTCAGGGAATAGAAAACTGTTTATCCAGTGCCCTGTATATCTGTCCTCCATTAGAGTGCAACAGTCAGCTAGTTTGGATCTGCCACAGTACCCACATGAAGAATATGTATAGGGTCTATCACAGGAAGAAGAACCTGGCAGCTCACTGAGTCCTATGATTTACTCAGACTGCACACCACAAGAAGCTGGTCCTCAAAACAATCTGATAGTGATCTTAATGATCTCTGACTGGGCCCCTGACCCTATATAAACCAATGGGATGTACAATGAACTGTCCAGGCAACAATGTGGATCCCCACCAAGCTACCATGACTGCCCTGCTTCTGTATTTAGGGTTGCCAGATCGTTTAACAAAAAATACCGAACATCCCCCTTTCTCCCCACACAAACCAAACCAAACCAACCCCCCCCCCCCCCCACACACACACACCTCCCACACCAGGAAAAAATTGTGTTGAGGAAAAAAAAAAGCGCGAGGAGAGACCAAAGTTGTTCAGTCCCCTCCCC